TACAGACTAAGGCGAGACAGAGCTGTGTGTCACAGCCTGCATTTGGAGGGGAGGGAGAAGCCCTGATCTGATTGGTTGGGGGTGAAGGGCATGGCTAATTATCGCTACGGCAGTGTTTATTTATTTTACGCTAGAATAACATAGCTAACCTTTTATGAGCTGCTACTGCCAGTGGTGCAACCTAGCGACGTTTTCATGGAAATTTCACCATTTCATCTTTTCTTAGCTTCATGTGTTAAGTTCAATGTAATCCATTTAGAGATCTTTTATTGTTTAATTTTAAATTCTGGTAAAGACAAGAAAAACAATGTTCGATCATACCTGATAATTTAGTCATGGACATGCCATGTTGTCCTGTTCTCTAGTTTTCTACGTGTTTTTTTTGCTGTATGTAATATGGGGGGTGGGACAGAATTACGGTCAGGTGCAGGGGTTCGAATCGTTCTTTTAGTTGATCACACGATTCAAATTTTGTTGTTTATTTTTTAAAACTTGTATTAATTTTTACAGCAAATTTGAACATTTTTGCGCTCTCGGTTCTAAATAAAAACTGTTGAACTTTTACTGGATTGTGAACGATTCGGGGGCGGGGCTTATCCCCTCTGTTCACTCAGACTGGAATCTTATTGGCTGAGGAGTTAGCATTTCAAATTTCCCTTTCAAGCGCAACACGCTCCTTCCACACTGTTTCCAAGAACACCAGTATTGATGTTTGAGATTGAAATGCTCAAACTGTGCGCGATCTATCCAAGATATTGCTAAAACTCGTCAGGCTGTGTAATCACAGGGGTGTATATTAAAATATTTATGATTTTTTTTTTTTTTACTTTTTCTTCTGCCATCATGTTTTGTTCCTATGAACTTATCCTCTGTCATTATAAAAATAAGCAATTAAATGTTATAAGATACTCTAATGTAATATGAAATTGAATGAAACCCTTGTTTTATATACTGTGAAGTAGAGTCTATATCAATGAGATACCAAATGTACAGTTAATCCGGTACTGAGCTTCTTTCCAGGTCCTCTCCAGATTTAGTCTAGAACACAGTGGGAGAGAAATGTGTGTGAATTGAAGCCAAGACCAACTGTGTACTCATTACAGAGGATAGTTTTGCTGTTTGCAGGCCTGTAGAGCAAAAGCTGCCTTTGTGACTTGGATATTCAAATATAATAAAATTGGGACCTTTATTTTACTACACTTCTGAAAGTCTTTATGGCAGATATTTATCTTCTCTTTGCCATCTGTGTTTGTCATAAAGGGAATCAAAATGACCTTGTCGGTTTCCTGTTTAATGTGGCGTCACTTTCCTTCGCTCAGGACCGTCTCACATGGATGTTTGTGTCGTGTAGGTGTCAGTTAGCCAAAGTTCTTTGATTGTCCTGATTGTCCAAGTATTCTTTGTTTTTTTGTAATGCACAGTCGAATGCACAGCCATTCAAAGTAATCCAGGCGCTCGACACATGCACACTAGAAAGACTCATACTTGTCCAGTGTCTGCACTTTTTCTCTCCAAAAAATTAAGAGCGATAAAAATGTCTTCTTGTCTCCTCTGTTTCTTTTCCAACTGTGAAACAGTGGCTCGGGCATTTCCAATTGAAGCCCATTTCAGTCGCGGAATAAAAAAACAATTCAATTGTGACTTTTTCTCTCACATTTTGGACTTTGTTTTCTCAAAACTGTGAGATAAACACAGAATTGTGAGATATAAACTTGCAACTCTGACTTTTTTCTTGCAATTTCGAATTTGCACCTCACAATTCAGACATTTTTTCTTTCTCGCAGTTGCGGCTTTATATCTTAAAGTTTGGACTTCTTGAGTTTATATCCTGTTTTTGTTTTTACAGAATTGCAATGTAATTGTGACTTTATCTCACTATTCGGACTTCATAGAAAAGCGAGTTAATTTCTTGCAATTACAAGTTGACATCTCTCAATTGAGACCTTTTTTTTATCAGAATTGCGAATTTATCTCAGTTCTGCATTTATATCTTGCAAATCTGAGTTTATATCTCAATTGTTTTTTTTACGAGTAATTGCAACTTTATCTCTCAATTCTGACTTCTCAGAATTGTGAGTGATAATCTTGCAATTATGAGTAAATGAGTATATTACATGTGCGGTTAGAAAAATCAGGCTGTGATTGTGATGACTGCTTATGATTACATTCTCGTCACATGAACTTTATACGTACCCTAGCGTATGTGTAAAAACCGAAGTATACTTTGGGCTCTATGGTTCCTGTTATATGACAAATTATTACATTACAGTTCCAGGGACCCTTTTAAACTTTAGGCTGCTCACATCAACTTTACAAAACCCTAAAGGCATATAACAGTGTTACATTTTCTCTTAAACACTTGCTTTCCCTACAAACACAAGGCAGGTTAAATGATTGTTCCTCTTACATTGTTAGTGTGTGCTGCTCTTGTAGTTTGTGTCCAGAGAGTCTACTAATAGTTAGTATTAAAAATGTAAATGTATTGATACCCCATATCTCCTCAATAACCCCCGTCACGTTTGCATTCACTGTCTTTATCTGCTTAACACACAATCTCTGTACTAAAGCACATCAGTTGGTGTACGTCTTGTTCAAATGTGTTCAACCCGTTGTCTTAATTTAATTTAATTTTTATTTGCGAGGGTACATGTGTGTGCATGTGCATTACAATGTGTTTGAAGGGGCTCGTGTGCACAAACGGATGCTTCTCGGCTGCTGTGTGGCAGCAGTAGACGGTGGTTCCAGGCCTGGGATTTTTCCGGATGCTTTTATAACCACGTGGAGCACGTGGGATCAACACCAGCACCTCTTACGGAGAATGAGCGTTGACGTAAAGAAGCTAAAACATCTGTATATTTATTGTAAATCACTACAAGTAAGAAAGTCTTTAATGATGAGTTGTCAACAATGTTTAAATATTGCAAGTGATGGTAGATGAGCAATAATCTGTAATCTTGAAGAACAAAAATAAAAATCACAAATGTAAACCTTTTTTGCAGGTATTACCGGCTGCACTATAATTTTTATTTATTTAAGTAGGCTATCATATTCATGTTTGACTTGGTTGTTTGTAGATGTGCGTGTGTATGTGTGTGTTTTTTAATAGCCTACCAGAAATAAATTTAAAATAAAGAGCACAAATAATTCCCTATTTTACCTTGGGATGCTTAGAAGTCACACAAATGAAAAAAGTAGAATATTTTATGTTTGAAGAGTTATTTTTATATTTTCTCTTTTCATTTTGTTTTCGTAATTTTAGACGTAGATTTGTAATTTTTATTAGTTATTGGGGTATATTTTAAATAATAAAATTTTATATTGTATTTATTAATGTTTTCAGTTAAGTAATCAAGTTAATACAAATGAGAAATGTCTTTAAAAATATATATTGTAAATATTTAAAATGTATTTTTTTTATATTCCAATTAATTATTTTTTATTATTATTATTATACATTTTTATGCTTTTGCTTTTAATGATCTGTAATAACCCTAGCTTGAATATTCATGATCTCCAAAGGTTTGAGGAGGAGACTGGGTTTTTTGTTGACAGTGACTGAGTGCTCAGCTTCTGCTGGCCTGTCATTTCAGGTGTAATTTAGAGTCAGGATCCTTTAGGAGATTTTAAATATGGGCGTCCAAGTGAAATGTGTTGAATGAAACTGTTATGATGCCTTTAGGGAAAAAAATCTCAAATTTTATCTTAACTGAATATAAGGTATTTTAATGCTATTCTTGGTGTGCCTAGTCTCTGCATATTCCTGGACACTGAGGTCATGGATCGGATGTGTAGTTGGACAGTGTAAACAGTGGGTGTTTATTCTGGACACATGATGGTTTGAGATGTAAGAACAGCTGCTGTTGTCACTCACACCTTCAGGTTACTTGTACAAACACACAAATGCTGAGAGTCACTGTCTGTTGTTTTCACTCTTGACCTGTTACGAATGACTGTCCTCAAGTTCAAGCCTTCTCTGATGCTAAGTACGGATACTAATCATGTTTAATAATTTGATAAAAGTGTAATATGATCAACATTGCAGTGGTTAAGACTATATTTTTCATATTTCTATCTCAGATGTTCTGTGAATGTCTGAACAAGATAAAGCAAAATAATATGACCCCCCACAGCCTGAATCCTTTCTTCAAAGTCTGTCCCGTTTCTTTTGGGCATCTGTCACACTTTCAAATTAAAATGTTCATTGAAGTGTCCTTCCCACTCGGCTTGACTCGTATGTGAAGAGACCACCATGACGAACGTGTCTCCATCTCAACAATCAATAATTCATTGTGTTCACAATATGGTCCGTCAAAAACGTCACAATGTGGCTCTTTCTAGCTGTAGATCTTTCTGTTCCTCAATGTGAATAATAACACTTTGTTTGTCCGTATCAGCACTTTCTAAAGGCCATACATGATTGACTGGAGATTTTATTTGAATGTATTTGTCTTTTATATCTAAGCAATAATAAAAAATAATAATAACTGTGTGTGTGTGTATATATGTATATATAGGCCTATATATATATATATGTATATATATATATATATATATATATATATATAATGTATGTAATGTTATTAAAACATTTTCATAGGCATATACTTAAAATTAAATTTTTAAGTTGTAAATTTTTATAAATTTTTATAAATATATGCATTAAGACTTTTACAAAATAAATGGTAAACGTCGCCTATATATTTATGTGATTTTCATATAACATCAACTACAAAAAAATATTGTATTTTTATAAAATCAACCCCTGGGAAGCTGTTTACAGCAATTACAATGAACATTGATTACATTTATTAAAATTAGTATATTCTGAGTAAAATAATTTGTATGTAGTAGTACCTGCATATTCGTGGTCAAGTGCGGTGTGGGCGTGGCTCGCATCGGGCGTTACGTCAAACCACGCCCTCATCGGCGATCAGCAGCCAATCAGAGTGGCGGGGACGGATATTATTCTGAATTTATTCTGAATCCAGCAGCGTCTGTTCCAGTGTGACAGTGTATTTCCGTGCGGCGAGCAGCTCCTCAGCCTGACAGATGCAGCAGCAGACCGACGACATGGAGGTACCTTTACTTAATGATTCTAACAGTAACAGACAGAAGTCTCTGGCTCAAGAGAGAGATGGGTTCAGCCATCAGCAGAAGGATTCGGAGGTAATCCGAGCACACTGACAGTTTGCAGGGGTAGAGGGGTGTGTGTGTAAGGTGGCTTGTTGCTGGGGGCTTTAAATGCCTCGAGTTGTTATTGTAGAAATATGCATGGCGCTAAAAATACCTTCTCTTTAGGAATTTGATCCAGTGTGACCGGCTGATGGTTTTATAGAGGATATAGACATGCGTTTCATGTGCATGCATTTGAAGGGTAAATATGAAGGATGCATTTGTTTCTGTCTTAAATTCCCACTTCTTACACAGTATATGGATATATGCACATGCGCATATAAAATGCTGAGCATGTATGCATTTGGCTCATTTCATTTACAGTAGGCCTACATGTGTATTCCTCACATTAACCCGTCAAATGTCAGTGGGCACAAATTCCTATGCATTATAATATGTAATGTAAACCAGTTATTTAATAAGCTTGATATTAGCCTGATGTTATGGAATATATATTGTTATATTGGGAGTTAATGGGGTCAGTAATATACAATCTGCTGCATATTTATTTATTTATTTTCATATCAATTTATTTAAAAGAAGCAGTGGTCTATCTGTCTGTCTATCTGTCTATCTGTCTGTCTGTCTGTCTGTCTGTCTGTCTGTCTATCACCTGGAGTTGAATTGATTTGTAATATACAATCTGCTGGTGAATTTTTAATTAATATTTCTTTGAAAGAAAGTCTGTCTGTCTGTATCTATTTATCTATCTATGAATGAACTGAATTGGAGTGGTAAAGACTGCACAGTGCACACTATTATGTACTCATTGCTCTCTCCAATATGAACTTATTATTTATTCAGTCATTAAAAATAAAACTAGCAAATGTATATTTGATTCTCTTCTTGGCACAGCACAGCCCAGATTCAGTTTTCAAGGTTCAAGGACAGTAACACATATTGTGATGTGAATACATCCAGCCTAGTGAAGTTATGGTAATAAATTCCTCGTCCATGATCGTTAAGCATATTAAATGTTTTTTTTTTGTTTTTGTTTTTGTTTGAGGAATTCGAGCGTGTTTTACTCCTGCAGCAGATTTTTTTTTCTAGGACAGTGATGGGGAGGTGGTTTGAATGTACACAAAATGCCTCAAAATGATGTGCATGGCTGGAGTTATTACGAGGAGTGAAACTCAGAGGTCTATATGTGAGTGATCTGTCATTAAACCAGAATATGCTGGATGTAAAGCTCTGTGCTTGGTCTTATGGTATGAGCATGGTAATATTGGTGATGAATTATTGCATCTGGCTGCATTAAATGAGTTATGAATATTAAATGGAGAATATTGACTGGATCTTTTGGCATTTGGTCCATTAGCTCGGTGCTGGCACAGTGCACATTGTGCATGCCCTGTTTTGAGCTTTACAGATTTACAGATTAGTCCAGTTTGTTTCATAGGATAGAAAGGCATGCAACTCTTGTTTAGTTCATATTTTAACATGATTTAAAAAAAAAATGGTGTATGGATAATCAGGTAAACCCAAGTTGCTTCATATTCATCTTGAAATATTACTAACAATGTAAAAGTTATTCTTACATTTGCTTTATAAAAAATAAGTAAAGATTTCACAGCAAAAAGACACATGAACCATGACCTGAAGATGTAGTTTTTACAATTATATTAAAAGGCCTTTTATTTGCTAAAAAATATAAACAGTCAGTTGACAAAATGCGTTGTGTACAACAGATGTTTTAGCACAGTTTTGATCATGTTGATCATTTAGAGACTTTAGAAAAGTGCAGATCAAATTTGATACAGTAAGCTTTATAGGGTTAAACACCAGAATATATTACTGATTGTAACCTAAAGTACATAACTTGCAAGTATCTCATAATGATCAGGAATAGTGTGAAGTTAAGACATAAAAAAGCCTAATGAAGAACTCATGGTTCATTAGACTCCACCATTGAGTCAGTTTCTTCAGTGTATGATGTGTGTGTGAGTAATAATCAGTGACATGATTCACGGCAGAAATGTGTATTCTGTTTACAGGACGTTGTTCTAGTTTATAAGTATCATAATTTGCCTTTGTATCAGATGTTATGGCCCCTGACCTTCCCTGCTTTCTCTGAATGCATCAGTATGTGGCATCGGTTTGGATCAGACGTGAGTGTTCTGCTTCTGGGAGATCAGAGGGAGTAACCTTTAGGGAAGGTGTCAGAAAAGCTGTCAGAAGGAAAGCCCATCTCTCTCTCTCTCTCACCCACACAGCTCTCAGTTAGAGCTTCGCACCATGAGTATCAATGCCATCTGCTCCTGAGGACCAAAATAAAATGCTTCTGACTGTGCCACACATGTCTGTGAGTTAGGAGGGAGAGAGATACCGAGAGAAGAGCGTAAATCATTAGTTTAGTGTGCACATGCATATGTAAAATCTGCGCACATGCATTATGCATAAAGAATGCGCTTTATGATGATAATATGCATTTATAATTTTCTCACATTCATTATACATGTATTTTTTTGCCCATAATCCGTATACAGTGCCTGAATTATACATTATACATTTAAACTAGGGGTGCAACAATATAGCGTCACAACATCTCGCAATACAAAAATTCAACAATATGTATTGTGTATAGTTCATCCAAAAATGAAAGTTTATACAAATTTAATTTAGGGTTTTATTCACATATAAACAATGATATTATCCAGTAAATCCGGTCATAAATTTGAGCTTCCATGTTTATTATTTATGTTAATAAATTAAAGATACTTGCATATACATATACTGGCCTATATAATATTACATATTTTATAATTTATAGAAAATAATAAAAAATATAAAATAATTTAATAAAATACAATATTTAAAACGTTTCTAAATGTATGTAAGGGGCAGAGAGCAATTATGTGTCTAACATAATTCTGTATTATTAGCTATTTTTATTCTGGTTATGAAATGTACTTTTTTGAACTGTTTATCATGTCTTAGAAGTAGTTACAATACAATTTTAGCTCTCTTTTGGCTTTGTTTAAAGCATCGTGACAGTTTATTGTGAGATCAGTATCATTTATCGAAGCAAATCGTGACATGAGTGTATTGTTACTCTCTTAATTTAAACTTAAATTTAGTTTTATTTCTAATCACAGATTTACAGATGAAAAGCAACTGGTCTGATGGGGAGTTATTTTATGTTTAAAATAAAAAGTTTTATCTGTGAAGTCATTTTAGCTTATAGCTGTCAAACAAAAGAGTATACGCTTCCCAAAGAGGTTATAGAAACTGTACAACAAAAGTATAAAATGGAGTATAAAATCAAACCACCCAGACATTTCCTAGCAAAGTTCATTCATCATCATCATCATCATCATCATCATCCATGAGAAGGGGACTTGTTGGAGAAGGTAGAGAGAGGTCAACAATCACTTTGAAAAGTACAGAGTTCAAGATATGAGAACAGAGTCCACAAGAGCTCTGTCAAGAGCCGTGCATTATGGGTGGGTGGCAAAAGAGGCCATTACTCAGAAAGAAACCATTTGAAAGCAGATCTCATGTTTTCCAAAAAGCATAGTGGGTGACCCATTTGTGATGGTTTTGAGGTCATATGCCTCCATAATAGAGCTTTTGGGCAGAATTGAAAATGATATGTGTGGGACATGTCTGACACGGCCCACATCTAAAAAAAAAAAATAACAACACCATGATGGTGCAAAATGCAGGGAGATACTGCAAGAAAGCTGCCTGCTAAAAACAAAGCTTGACCGAAAGTCCAGCACAACAATTAGGCCAAATTAGCTGCAACAATGTGAAGGTCCTGCAGAAGCACTTTGTCTTTAAATGAATAAGTACTTGAGCACGAGAATCTGGTCCTCAGGGGGAATGAAGAAAGTTCATCTTCAACATTATGCCTCTTACGTAATTTATTCTTCAACTGACAGCACAGAGCGTGTTCCCCAGATGTTAATTGGGCTGCAATTAAATCAAAACGCCTCAGAGGACCTGACACTTCTTAATTTCAGGCAGACTGTGAAGGAAAAGCCAGGAAATCCATGTTTGGCTCAGGGTTTTAGAGGCTGTTCAGGGATATTAGCATACAGTAGATCAGCACTGATGTTTTGAAACCATTAACCCTACGTTTGGGTGTGAATGTTCACGCTTTAGTAGCTCTTTGAGAGCGTTAGCTAAAAGACATGTGGTTATTCTTAAGCATAAGTGCAGACTTGGCCAACAGTCAGCAGTCATTTATGCAGGAAATATCCTTTTAGATGGACACACACTGGAAACCCTGCAGTCTTGCTTCTTATAACCATGACACACTGTGGGTCAATGAAAACAATCTGTGTAATTTACAGTAAAAAAATATTGCCTTAACCTACTGAAGTACTGAAATTTGTTTTGTACCTTTATAATATGCTGACAGCCCCTTAATGAACATTCATTTATCAACATAAGATGTGACATAAAACCCTAATGTACGTAACTGATAACAAAAAACTAAGAAGAAACATATCCTTATTTACATGAAAAACCATCCAATCAAATGTTACACAGGGAAGGTCAGTTTAGAGCTTTTCACTGTAAATTATAAGATGACTTGTACTTTTTCAATTTTCTTTTTAAATGTCCTTTTTTCACCGTATATAATACAGAAACTTACTGTTAACCAATTAACATGTTTTCACAGTAGTATTTCTGCAGTCCTCCACCATTAAAATTAAATTTTTATTTTAAAGTGTACCACAAGAGGAAATTTTGAGAGGGTCGATTTACAGTTTTTGACTGTAAATGACAAGATTACTTGTTTTTTCACTTTCAAAAACTGTAAATTGAATAGTATTTTACTGTAAAATTATTTTTTTTTGCTGTATAAGAAAACTTAGTGTTAAACCAGTAAAATTTCCATTTTTACAATTAAAGTTAAAATTTTTACAGTGTACCACAAATCTGAAAATTCAAGTCATCTCATTAGATTTATTGTTGTTACAGTTTTTCACTTTACAGTAAATACAGTAGTAAAAAATGTACTGTTAACCAATGTAGAGGTTTTAACAGTAGCATTTTTACAATCTTTTACCGGTAAAATTGCATTTTTTTTTTTTTGTGTAGTGTACTACAGACCATGCATACTGCATTTTCTAAAATAATTACCTTTCTAAATTTTATTGTTAAAATATATTTTTTAATAATAGCCTACTGAAAATGTTAGCAGAGCACAGTTACAAACTCTTCATCTCCCAAGTTTGTAGGCAACATTGTCCCAAAAAGCATGTACAGGTGCAAACTTACAAAATCCACAAAAAATACAGCATCAAGTCACCCTAGACATGCTATTTAGTGTGTACTATAATTGGAGATGCATTAATCCTAATGTCACATACTATTTTAGAATGTATAGTATACAAATTACGACGCAGTATGTGTGGTTTTAATTGTTACTTCTTTGTATTTAGATCTTTGTACCTTCTGAGCACATGTGAGGTACTGTGCTGATCGAAATGGTAGTTAATTCATGCTGACATATTGCCACCCTTATTTCCCACACTATTGTCGTTGAAGTTCTAGAGTAGTGTGCCCTGGCTGAATTTGCATAATTACGAGGGAAATCACATGCTGCAGAAATAGTGGAAAGACCTGAAATGCGGTTGGCAAGCGCTCCAGGATGTTGACATGTGACACTTTCTGTTGTGGCAGTGCAGTTATTATTTGATGATCCTCTGATCTGCAGGGGTCCATGGAGTCCCCGAACCTGGAGTTTGAATATGGGGACACGGACAGCTTCACTGCAGAGCTCTCAGGTGGGACACACACACACACACACACACACACACACACACACACACACACACTAACATATCTAGGGATGAACAAACACTGGGTGAACAAATCTTAGTCGAAGCAGCACAAGAACTTTTACATCTGGCAGGTGTTCAAACATAGCTTTAATATAAAAATAGATATAAATTCATAGAACATTAGATGTTCATTATGCATATTTACTGATGTAATTTTAATGTTGCAACATTAACGGTGAACCTGTGTGTGTGGTTCATGTGTTTCATGATATGTTTGAGGTTTTATGCCTTTGAATATACCAAATGTGGTAGTATATAAACTATTATTATACATTATTATATATATTTTTTAAATCTTATTTGCTGTTACTGTAGCCTCTCGATGTGGCTGTTTCTAAAGATTCGGCTCATTATAGTTTGTTTTAATTTGCATGTGATGAGCAACATGTCAGTTAATGTTTAATGAATTTGTTTTACTATACTATGAAAAGCCAATGTTATGTGCTTGTTTTCCTTTAACTATGCATGTCTTTCTGCCTCTTTCACACAGAGCTGTACAGCTACACAGAGGAACCGGAGTTCAGTCTAAACAGGGATTACTTTGAGGAAGACTTCAAGAATCATGGTAATGTAGCCCGCAGTGTTGGGTGTAATGCATTATTGAGTAATTAATTATTGTAATTTAATTGATTTTCTCTTGACAAAGTAAAGGATAACTCTTATTTTTTCTGCAATTTAATTACGATTACTTCTGCATTAAATATTGTATAGAGAACAATTCTATGTAAAATAATAGTGGATTTAACATTCAAATTTAACATCTAATGTTAAAGTGCATTATATGTTTTTAATGTAAACTTCTCCCTTTAAATACTTTAGTCAGTTCAAAAATAATTTATACAATTTTATATGATTTATTTGAAAGAATTAAAATTGTATTTTTATGTCTATATTTGTATTGTTCAACTATGGGATTTAGAAAGTAATTAGTAATGCAATACATTTTAGAGAGAGTAATTAGTACAGTAATCTAATTACTGTTGAAGATGTAATTAGTAGCTAGTAATTAATTACTTTTTTAGAGTGACTTACCCTACACTGGTAGCCAATGTTATATTATAGCAAAAATATAATCAGTATTTTTAGTAATAATTTCCACTATACATCTTAAAACATCCTTAAAACAGGATGAATTTACTTCAGAAACAAATTGCACAGTAAGACTTGTTCTCAGAGAATAGGTTTATTTTTCTTACCACATTGGATTATTATTATTATTTTTTTTTTACTATTTAATTAATTATTTTGCTTGTTTTAAGCATAAACCTCTCAATTCTAAATTCAATTTAAAAATTAGAGAAAAATTTGAAAAAGAAAAGAAAAAGTAAGAAAAAACTAATTTTAAAATGCAAAATACTTGATATGTACTCTAAGAACAAGTGTTGTGATCCTACACAGTTTTGCTTCCAAAATTAATTTTAAGCATGT